AACTGTTACATTACAATATAGAAGTTGATGGTTATGTATTTCATGGTTTTCCTTTGTTTGCATGTAAGACGCCTTTTTGAAAATGCAGATTTTCTTGAGATCCAGTAAGAGTGTTTTGCAATGGTTAGCGTTGTTAAGAGCACAAGTGAGTTTCAGCTTTGTATTCACACAAGTGTAAATTATATGAGGTGCTATCAAAACTATCTCAAAACTCTTCCAGATAAACTATGCTAATCAGCTGAAAGTTATAAATTCTGTTGGAATTAACAGAAAAATACTTCGGTTCTCATCTGGAGTAGTTAGGTGCATATACACCACTGTAGTATAAGGCTTCTGAATGCTTTTTGCTTCAGGTGCAGCAAAAGTTTATTTTAAAAGAGGTTCAGTAGGTGTGTTGGTCATTTTTTATTCTGGGATTGTTGGGTTTTTTTCCAATTAGTTTTACCCAGTAGCAGAAGTACTAAAATGGAAATGTTAATGTCACAATTTATAGTATGGAACCTAAACAGAAGAGGCCTTCTGAGAAACTGATTTAAAGATTTTAATTACTACACTGAACTCTGGCCATAGGTGGCACAGTGTATAAATCTTATCCAAAATAAGAAAAAACACAGTTACAGCTCTCAGTAACTGCAGTTAACACCACGAGTCACTTCCAGCTGTCTTCTCCAGACATTAAGGCATTTGAACAAAAGCAGCTGACTGTGTGGTGGTCATTTAGACTGTTTTCAGTAAATCAAATGGAGGAACTGTGTGTTCACAGTTAAAGGATGAGTATTGCTGGAAGCTGCACAGTGCATGCTTTACAGCACATGGTCATAGCTAGAGAGAAAATATATCCTAGAAATCCTTGTTAACATGCTTTATCTGTGTAACAATATATCCAAGACCCAAATCTGCAATCCTGTTGTTTGCCTTCCTTTTAGAATAAGCATATATTAGAAATCTTAAAACCATCAGTATTTGTTTCATCATCTGGATGATTAACATTGTCAAAAAAATGACTAGGAAATATTACATGTGATCACTCTTTTATGTGTGTGTATTAATTCATGGTTTCATGCCACCTATTAGAAACCTTGCCAGAATATATACAGGAAAGGAAAAGGATAGGTAAGGGACTACCCATTATTAAAATACTGCTGCTATTTGTGCCATATCTAGCTGTAGACATATTTTGTAAGAGCCTGGAAGATAGGATTGCCTATTAACAAGAAAAAGAAGCCAAGACAAAATATTTTATAGATAAATGCATTAGACTTGGGAAACAGAAAATTAACTATGCTTTTGTTTAGCAGGGTTGTACCTCAAAGCATAAAACTGTTTCTTATTGTAACGGTCCAACAGTACAAACAGAGAATGTATTTTCATTTATTTGTGCTAACTGTGCTTGCAGGAAAAATGTTTACATTGGTGGGCTTAAGACCACATTTCTCCCCTAGTTATGACTTTAATGTATTAGAAAAGTTCTAAAACTGGGTGTTAGAGGAAGGCTCTTCATAAACAAGTGAGATGGAAACTTGCTTCCCTTTTTGGTATCCAAACAAAACAAAAGATTTAACTCAAGATTTTAAAGACCCATAAAAGGGAGGAAATTCAGAAAGCACAATTAAAATTTCACCATCTGTTCACTCTAAAGCAGTAAGGAGAAGGGGGAGGTTTCCCTTATGCAAAACCATTATAATCTGAATTGTAGTAGAAAATCAGTGGATATGGAATAAGCACAGCACCCTCCCCTCTCTTACATGAGATACTGATTCAACTGGAACTCTGGGCAGAATGAACTATGAAAAAAATGTACCGAGAGCCTCAGCTTGACACTCTCCTCTTCTGCGCCATTGTTTCCCTCTGCAACTGTGTTTTAATGGTTTCTCACTGCCTTGGGCGATGCAATATTACTTCGCATGGGCCGTGTGTGTGTGCTTTAATCTGAGGCAGCAAGGAACCTGTTTCCCCCATCTGTTTTGGCCTGCATGTGTTGGTACTGTTGTTAATGCTGACAGCTGTGTTAATATGCGAGGCCACCTGCCACGTGGTCGGTCGACCCTGCGTCTTTGGGTAACAGCCTAACTTCTCTCCCCATGTGGAAGGTGTAGATGGCTAAAACTGGGTTCCTGTTGGCAACTCTGCTGGCAGTTCCCATTTTATTATTTTAAATGTGTCAAAATAATTTACTCTTAAGTCATGCACTCGGTTGCTCCAGGGTACACAAAGCCAAAAGGATTATCTAACCTGAGCCATGTTAATCTTTTATATTGATACAATTTACTACTTTGATCAGAATTTACTTATGTGCCTCCAGTAGGACTGCCATGTGGTTAATTTCTGTATTTTCGGCTTTTAGATGCAGTGAAGAAAGGAGAAACAGATTTGAGCACAACATGTTTCTGTTTGGGATTAGCATTTCTGATGAGGTTGGCTCTTTGTGCTTGGACAAGCACAGCCCTGGTAATGATTCATGCTGCACTGTGGTGCCCCTCCGGGTGCCTCACTGGTGTGGACAGATTTTGGATGTGCCTAGGTGTTCTGACTGCCACTGTCTCAGTGCAAAACACTCCCCATATTATAGGTAACTACGTGAGGATTAATTAATGCTGATATAATTTTATGATACTGGATCCTTTGTAAAGGCTAATTACTGTATTCAGGTTTGCTAACGCTTAGTGATTAGACCTTAGTTAAGCAATAGGTAGGGAAGCTGTGAGATGCATGTGGCAAAGAAGGAATAAAAGCAATAGTCACTGAAAGCCTAAGCCCCCCTGCAACCTGTTTGTACAGTGCCAATGGTTTTGGACCCTTAATTACTTTTATTTTGAATGTCAGAAGGAGTGTCTCCTCTATTATGTTTATGGGGGCTGCTGTTGCGTTTTGTAGTTTTAACTCTGATTGCCATTTCCCTGAGAATTGCCAACTAAGTGTAGGTACTCTCAAAAAATGTGTTTCCTTTTTTCTCCATACTGTTCTGGAATGAAATATTTCATATTTTTATGTTAGGTTTGGGGCATCCGTATCACCAACACAGTTGTATGTTCCTTGGCTGGAGAATGAAAACTAGGGGAGACCTTGTTGTTTACTAAGTGCTGGTCCCCTGAATAAGGTTTGTGAATGGTAATTATACCATAACAAAGCTACTTTTTGTAACCTATGAAACAACCAGCTAGTACCAATGCAGACTGACTGGTAAAGATTTAAGCATATGTTCAATATCCACTTATGTCTGGTTTTAAAAATCTACATCAAAGCTATATGAGACCTGGACAATACAAAGGGGAGCTGTCTGCATATTTCTTAAAGATTTTGCTCATGGCTGAGTCCATGGAAAGTAGACAGACAAGTAGCTAGTAGTATATATTTCCAGGTTGTTTCATTGCTGCTGTTCTGCATCTGGGCCTAGACTGCCAGCTTCATATCCACCTCAAGTTTCAGCCACACCATGCTGATAGTGTAGCACAGCAGTGAAGAATGTGGGCAAAGAGGCTTTGGGTATAGAGGGGGTGGATTGAGGCGAACCACTAGAAAAAAATCTTCCAGAAAAGAGGTGAGAACTGGCACAGGCTGCCCAGAGAGACAACTGAGTCTCCATCCTTGGAGATATTCAAAAGCTACCTGGACATGGTCCTGGGCAACTGGGTCTAGGTGGCCATGCTTGAGTGGGGGTGCTTGGACCCCGGAGGTGACCAGCCTCCCAAGGTCCCTTACAGCCTCAGACACTCTGAGATTCTGTGAGGTGACACAACAGGAGCTGATAAAAAGGTGTGAGATGTAGGCAGTCACAAAGAACAGCAGAGATGCTCATCAAGATGAGAAAGAGGAAAG